TTCCATTCCAAATTAAATGATCCTGGCCATCTTGACTAGAAGGAGGAAGAAAATTCATAAATCGATGCAGCACAGAATCTGGAAGCAATTGTCGAAGAGAATTCCATTTCCATTGCCCCAATTCATCCACGTAGTCCACCACCTTCTGAAGAGTATCACTAATAGAAAACTGAGAACCTGCATATGAGATCAAAGGACCACAATCGGGCAGCCAGCTATCAAGCCAGAACATAGGTGTAAGTTATACATTCTGCATGTATGCCCTGGTCTTCATTTTATTTTAACATTTAAAACCGTGTTTTATTAGTTCCACTTTTTTATGTTTTACTTTTTTTAAATCCTTTATATATATTAAAACGAATCGTTGCGATTCTTATATATAATTAGATAAGATTATAGTAATATGCTAGGTAATATTATACATCAAACCGGTTTAATCAAATAATAAAAATATTACTTCAAACCGGATTAATGAAATAACAGACCGTGAAAATATCCAAAAAGATGATGTTATGGTGAAAGATCAAATCTTGCACATCGTCATTGTAGATAGTTTATTTTATATTTAAAATAGTTCATAATAAAAATTTATGTAAGAGTTTTGTAAATAACTTTTTCCAAAAATTTAATCAAAAGAAAACTGATTATTTAAAAGGATTAATGTTTGGTAAGAGATAATTTAATTTCTTAGGCACGTATAAAAGTGTACGTGATCATATTTTCTTTTTCTCTATCTTCTCTTCATATGTTTTCACATAGGTCTCTCACACTGTTTTTTATATATATATATCTTTTACAACATAAGAAATATTAATTCCTTATTTAAAGGATTTTATAGATATTGTGTTATAAGAAAGTTGTTAAGTTATATTATAAAAAATAATAATAATAGAATCCTTTACTATTTTCAAAAAAAGAAAAAAAAGTATGAAACCATCATCGTTATTTCTATAACATAACTTTACAACTTTTTTACTAAGTAACAGTTATAAAACCCTTATTTAAGTACAAGTTTGCACGACAACTATTAAAAAAAGAGAGAAGGTACTTCAAAAAAATAAAAAAAGATAGGGAAGGACATGTACTCTCTCTTAGTCTTTTAGGAGAATTTATTTTAGGATCCGTTTACAAATTTTTGTGTGTGCAAATTACACTAAGTACGACCGGTCGTACACTGCATGATTAAAGTATGACCGGTCTTACTTAGTGTAGTTTGTAAATAAAAAAGTTTCTAAATATAACCTGCTTCTTTATTTTATTTTATCTCTGACAAAAGCAATGGACTGGTCCTCAGACTTTTAGGGAACCCTCCAACAATATTAAGATTCGCCATTTTCTATTTCTTCGGTCATCTGCTAACCATCGGCTTGGCAATGGTTAGCTTTATTCTGATTTTTTACTTAATCAACTCCCCCCCTCTCTTTTTCTGCTTCTATTATAGTAATTTTTTTTTTGTATACCTATTATTATTATAGTATTTCTTATGCTTCTTTTCCTTTACTATTCAAACCAAAGCTCAGTCCTCTAATTTAAGGATGTAAACCGGGTCAGGTTTAATGGGCGGGACAAAAAAGATAACAGTGTAAAAAAATGGTATTTTGTTATAAAAAAAAAAAATGGTATTTTATTAACTTGCCTCATATAATGGTAACACAATTAACAAGCAAGCGTAAACAGACCATTTGCTTTTAATTTATTCACAAAAATATTATTCTAAATGCCTAAAATCAAAATCTTAGATTGAAAATACAACAAAACGGATAAAAATAGCCTTCAATTCATCTAAAACTAAACCATAACAAATCCAAAGTACTTAAGTACATATCCATAAAAAATAAAATAAAAACTCAATAAAATTTAAGTTTTTATGTATTGGCTATTGTATATGTTTTTGCTTTTTTCACTTTTAATAGCTAATAGGTTAAGGTATTAAGATGATATATCAGACTTTTGTATTTGCTTAATTCACCTAGCTAGTCTTGTGTATTGAAAAACGAAAAGAAAAAAGAAATTTTTTTTTTTATCAATGGACCGTACTCATGAATTAAACGAATTCGTCTATTTAATTTAATTTAAAGGGCCTTATCATCTGTATGCTATACTATACTAGTTGTAGTTGATGATTCCATGTGAAGACTCATTAATACAATGCAAGTTTTGAGCTGTCCCTGTCACTGAGAAGGAGCTCTGATTAAGTACTTGACACAGCTTCACTAATTGTTAATTGGCATAGATAGATATATCATATATCCATGTGAATGCGTTAATAGATATGTATCTTTGACAAAATAGATCGATTCTATAATTTAATCACATATAGATCCAAAGACCTATCATTAATGTACATGTATGTATCTAGGAATCCTCACAAGCACATAATTTATCTTTTCTGACATTTAATATCATATTAGAAGTTGTCAACCCCACATAAATGCGATATCAGTCTGATGTTTTTTTATGAATATTTTCAGTTAATATATGACATGATTTCCACTAAGTCGCCCAACTAGCTTGAATTGCGTGTTATGAAACTCTCTTTGCTTTCTCTGATCAAATTAACTAAATAATGAAAAAAAAAATGAAAAATCTCTTCCCTTCTTGATGGGTGTTTGACATGAAATTAAAGACGATGCCTTGTTGGAAAGATGAAGTTTTGAATATTAAGTGAACTTTTAAGTAATAGTAAATTGAATAATCACTAATGGCCATGTTGGGTCTAAGATGCGAATATTTCAAGCAACGGTGACAAAACCAAGTTCGATCTGTGTCATAATCTATACGCATCTTTCGTCTAAACTACCACACAAAAATGGAAACAGAGATGGAAGAGGGAATAAATAATACAAAATGGAGCATTCTATATATATATATATATTGTATATGTATTAATTATCTTGTCCCACTAGCTCAGGTTGAGTTTCACACGTCAAGGAATCGAGTGCTTCATAGTTTATGAGATTTTGTTGGTAAAAAGATTGACTTAGATCGCACACCTTAATTACTTACATAGAACAACTTTATGACAATGCAAGAAAATGATTTTACCATTCTTTTTTCTTTTATTCTTTGGTTTTCAACGACAAAGGAGGTTGGTTCTCTTCAGCTTGGTTATACATACTTTCCTATCATATTCTCAGTAATTATGATTATTCCGTAAAAAAAAATATCTCTTCTACTATATATATATATATATATAACTCTTTTATTCTAGATTGCACTACGAGCTAGCAACTATAGTACTACGGGAAAAGTACCATTTTGAAGTTTTTAGATAAAAGAATTGCCCGGTTAAAGCTGATTGGATAAGTTTTTCCAAAGTAATGCAGTCAAACATGTCGCCTATGCTGACGGGACTCGTGCCACGTCAGCGCCACGTAGGCAATCCAATTACCGTAAATTTTCGGAAGACCATAACTTGTGACTCGGGTATCCAAATCAGTTGATTTTTTTTTTGATTTCACATAACTTTTCGAGATCTACGCAATGATACCTCGTTTGACATATTTTATCTCTCACAAACATAGTTTGAATTTGTAACAATTGTATCACAATCACAAGAGTGTTTATCCATAAGACTATGTTTGTGGGAGATAAAATATATCAAATGGGTTGTCATTGTGTAGATCTTGAAAAGTTATGTAAAATCAAAAAAAAAATCATTTGATTTAGATACCCGAGTCACAAGTTATGGTCTTCCGAAAATTTACGGTAATTGGACTGCTTACGTGGCGCTGACGTGGCACGAGTCCCGTCAGTATGAGTGACGGGACTAGTCCCGTCAGCATAGGTGTCATGTTTGACTGCATTACTTTGAAAAAACTTATGCAATCAGCTTTAACCGGACAATTCTTTTGTCCAAAAACTTTAAAATGGTGCTTTAGCCATACTACTGAACCTTTCTATTTGGCTATTACTCTACCTAATTTCTTTGATGATAACATGATTCCATTACCATTATATCTAAGTTTCACACATTTTTATGGGAAAATTAAGTGTATGCATTGCATTTTGTTCATCAGGATTTGCCTGTTTACGATGCAATCTAGCTACCACTTTCCGTAAGCATTTATTCAATATATATAGAACTATAAAAGAGAAGTGGATATGATTGTTATTTTTCATATTAAGAATAAGATTTGAGAATCCAATTAATACGAGAAAGGAGATGCAATATAAGTTAGATCTATACATATATGACACGTTCAACTTCACATGGGAACAGGAGCTATATCATGGCCACCGTACCTTCTCTCTCTCTCTCTCTCTCTCTCTCTCTCTCCTTTAAGATCTTTACTTAAATCTTTCACTTCCTTCAAATCCTCAGATGGCACAGACTCGTTTGTGACTTACTTAAGCTTTCAGTCAAATGGAGATATTCCCCCCACGTGCAATGGCCAATTGTTCAAGGCTAGACCTTCATCTGTTCATGTGATCTTCAGCGCCAGTTCCATAATAAAATCATAGCTCTCAGACCATGCATTTCTCAATGTATTCTTTATGATTCTGCAATCTCTTTTTACCAATATCTAGACTTTTTCAGTTGACTTAATTTCTTCATTTTTTCTCCATTTTGGGTTTTAATCTTTACATCAGTTTGAATCTCCTTCTAATACTAAAACTACTTCTAAAAGGAAACATAATTGTACACACCATGAAACTTGCAATACTCCAGTTATATATCTGGTGAAATTTAAAAGCAGGAATTGTAGTATATCCTAGCCGTTCCTACACTCAGAATACATTATTCTTACAAATGATGCATAAATAGAAATTGTATATGAATAAAATCATAATAGTGTTTATGCAAAAGCATATGTAAAAAGATTACTAAAAAAAAAAAGCATATGTAATGGGATTTAATTTCAATTTCCCATAAGCTCTAAACCGGACAAAATAGGAGGAAATGAAAGATGACCAGATAGGGTCAAGTGATACATTCTACTCTGTTGAGAAAGCATGAGTATTCGTACAGCAAAATGAATAGGAAACATTAATTGGTCCTAAACAAAGTATGGAACATTTTCACTGGAAATGGATCCATGGCTCATTGTGCTTTTAGATGTAGTGTATACAGAAGTTGAAGATGAAGACAAGGATGAAAGAACAACAGGAGGAGAAGGTAATGGTTTTGGTGGTGGAGGAGGAGGAGGAGGTTGAGAAAGACCTTGTGAACCTGCAGGAATTGCTGCATCAGCAGAAGAAACCAAAGCAGCATGAGAAGAAAGAAGAGTAGCAGCCTCTCTATATTTGTATTTTAGTATCTCATCCCTTACTGCATTTAGTTGTGCTTGTAAAGATTGAACATGTTGCTGCAAAGCTGATATTGCACCCATGCATCCGTATACAGGATCTCTCAACCTCAAGTTAGCTTCATAAACAAGACTATTTGCTGCATCAGCTCTTTGGCCCTCTGGTACCTCCTAGTTATATAGAATTAAAATTTGACAACAAATCAATATAGCTTCAATAAGAGTATAGTAAGTTCAATTGAAGAAAACAAAAGTAACTAATTTGATGTCTGAGCTAGTTAGGATCTAACCATTAGCATCTTAGAGACATTGCTTGCACCAAACACTTTATGAACAGCTGCAAACTTTTGAGGCTCATGTGGTGAGAAATAAGGAGAGAAAGGACATTCTTCAGCACACCTTCTTCTCAAAAGCTTACATGCAGCACAAGGGGTTACTGTGTTTAAGGTTGTCCCTAAAGCTGGACCATAAAAATGCTTTCTTCCCATTTGAGAAGATGCTTCTCCCTCTGTTCTGACCTTTGCTATCTCATCTAATCTTTCTTTGGCAAAAAACAAAACTCCATGTTAAACAATAATCTTGACCCTGAGTCTCTACACAAACAATAATGCATATTTTGATATTTTGTTGCTTTAGAGCATCATGCCCCAGCACCATCAGCAAAGAACAACAATATAGTGAAAATTTTAGATACTTGATCAGGTGATGAATAAATTGTTTCCTTTATCTAGAATATGAAAAAGAGAGCTGGAAAAATGTTTATTTGGTAATATTTACCTGTCTCTGGACATCCAAACATATCTGTTGATTGTCTTGATCTGAGTGGTGGATTGAGAGGGGGAAAGACTTTGTTTCAGACACAACACAAAGCACAATCTATGTGAGAAGAGCAGGGAAACAACCACTTAAAAGTTAAAAGGCAAAGTAATTAGGAAAAGTTGGTCAATGCTCTTTATAAGGAACAAAAAGAAAAAGAATTTAACTACAAGAAATATAGGAGAAAATAAAAACAAAGGGATTAGGTTGCATTAGCCATTTAGAAAGAGAAAGAGCACTCATTTTGTCAATGGCTTGCACACGTGTTAGTCCTTGTGGGAAATTGACAATTGACTTTAGAAAACAAACAAACAAGAAACATCAATGTCAGACTATTTAGCAGATGAGTTTTTTCTTAAGAATATATTATTGGGGAAATTGCTATGGGCTGCAAAGTGGTATGCTTCCCTTCATTGGGTGTCCTGTAATTGTCACATGTTTTCAAGGACCAGTCATGTATGAGGGACCAATTACATTAGAGGATTGCTCTTTTTAACAATCTCTTGCCATTTTCTCCCTTTTTGGAAACAGTTTATAATGGAGAGGTAGAGATGTGAAACAGTGCAACAGCTATCACAGCTTATATATTACACGGACTCAACCTCACCTACGACTCCCACATGCAAATCTTTTTCCGCAAAATAAAAAATGGTTTAATTTCTCTTTAGAAAATAAATTTTATTTTCTACACAAATAAAAATGTATGATATTTATATTTTCTTTTTCTTTTTCTTGGCATGATCTCATATGTGTAGTACATACTTTTATACATATATAGAAAAACATCAAACCCAATAAAAAAGGGGAGAGTGTGTATCATTTTAAAGGATATAAAGTTGTGTCATTTCAAGTGAGAGAAATAGATAGATAAAGAGGAGAGAGTAGACAAAAAAATATAAAGGTGTGGGTCTAACCGCTTTGTGAGAGTGAAAGGATTAGGGGTGTTCGCGGTCTGGATTGGATCGATTTCGGAAGCAAAAATCATCTGATCCAATCCCTTTGGTTTAACCATGTAATCATCCATTCGGTTTGTACTTTTTTTCAAATTCAATCCAATTTTTTTCAGTTTGGATTGGATCGATTTTCGGTTTTTTGAAAATCCTAAAATTTGTTAAATGCAAATAACATCTTTTGTATATATATTGGCTTTGTAAAAAAATTGAAATACAAAAGCATCAATAATATAGTTTTTTTTTTTTTTTGGGGGGGGGGGGCAATGAGATATGAATATGAAGTTCTACACCGATAAAATTTTGTTGATGAGATGTGACTAAGTTTTTTCTTGGATTTAGTTGATGGGTTAATGAGTCTTGAGTTTAGAGATTTTTGGATTATAATTGGAGAAAGACGAGTAAATAGAGGGGAATTAATATATTGGATCGGTTTGGATTGGATCAGTTTTCATTAAGCAATCCGAAAATCGATCCAATCCAATTAAAAATTGCGATTTTTTTTTTGTTTTTGATATTTCGATTTTCGATTTGTTCGGTTATCGATTTTTCGATTCGGTCACCGCGGTTTGGATCGGTTGATAAATACCCCTAAAAAAGATAAAAATTGTGTCATTTAAAATGACAAACACTTTTCCCATAAAAAAAGTTATTTTAGAGACCATAGGAGAGAATTCAGCGTATATGTAATCAACAGACTCTCCATTGAAGACGCATAATACATCCTTTCACACCACTAGCGCTTCGGGATTACAGTGTGAACAGTACATAGATTTATTTAGGTTATAATTATATTTTTATTAAAAAATAAAGACAATAAAGATTGAATTTTTAAATTACTCGATGATATTCCGGTTGGGCAAGGGTAGGTTAGGAGATCATCAGTATTGATTAAGTTAGACCAATCATATCAAATAGACTTTCATATTATGTCTTAATCCAAATTCTTAAAAGATACTACATTCATGATATTCTTTTTTATATGGACTTCACTTAATTTATTATCAATCACCGTAAACTCCATCACACTTAAATAATTTTTTTGAATTTTTAAGAATAAATTGAGGGTTTAAAGATTCTAAAGTTACTTTAGATAACTTTATCTAACGTTCACTAAAGTATATAGAAAAAAATATGTGGGATTCATGTGAACCCATATGAAGAGAAAAGAGAGAAAAAGACAATATGAGTCTCACACACTTTTTTATATGTATTTGGTGAATAGTAGATAAAGTTATCTAAAATAACATTAGAAACTTTAAACTCTTAAATTAAGTAGACTTGAAGAAGATTAAAATTAAAAAATAACATAAAAATAAGGAAAAATATTTTTTCTATTATATGAAATAAAATTATCTACTATAATATTAAAATATTAAAAAAAATAAAGACTGCCTATAGAATTTTTTTTTCTTACAATATGAATTTTATTAAAATATCCTATATTTTTTTTTCAAATTTCAAAATAATATTATTTTAAATTGTAAGAGAATTTTATGTGTGACTTAAGAAACACTAAACTCTAGAAATAAATAAAAATAAAAAATATCTAAAATAGTTAAACTTAAAGATTCAGACATACTAGGGCGGTTTTGCAAGGAAAAATGCACCATCCGTGAGGGGATGGCACTTAGAAAATTCTTCCCACGTGCCAAGGGCATGATGCCAAGCCTCCCCAAACATTTTTATCTCAAGTTTTGAACCTATGGTCCTGTATTTGGCACTAATAAGCCTCCACGTTACTTCCTTTTAATCACATTAATTAAAAGGAATAATATTTAGGAGTAAATTTTATCTTCTACACATACATAAAAGTATGTGAGGTTCATATTTTCTTTTTCTTTTTCTTCTCTTCACATGGTCCCCACACATTTTTATGTGTGTACGAGATAAAATTATCTCCTATAACATAGAAAACATTAATCTCTTAATTAAATACCGGTTTATATGTACTTTTTTTCACCAATGGCGGCATTGAAGTTTTCATCTATACAACTTCTACAACTATTTAAATTCTCACAATCCTTATCGCTTAGTCTCATTTACTCTCATAAAGTGAGTGATAGCACAAATGTCTGTAAAACTCCAATCTCAATTAAGATCAAATAGTCTCTAAAATGAACTTTAAATGTCACTTAAGTAACCGTTCTTACGGTTCCTCGTTTTTACTTCTTCATTCTTCTCCCTCTTAAAGTGCTCCTCTCGATCAATCACTATCCTTGTGCAACTTGTCCTTCAATTTATTTTTAGCTTAAAAGGTTGGTGGTTGTTGGATAGGTAAATCACTTTACTAAAATTAAATGCGAGCATTACAAAATGCTACAATTTTAAAATTAAATCTCGATTTGGTATATGTGCAAAGATTTTGTTTGACTATTTTAGTGGTAGCAATCACTTAACTTTTATGATTTATCTTTTAGTTTGACTAGCAAAGATTACTCCCTTCGACTTATCTGTGTGGTGATAAATATAAGTCATAAACGAAAACATAAGAGTTGAGAGATATAGCTATCATAATTTTAACCAAATCTTTATATAAATTAAACCCTAAAGATCAATGAGTAACTCGATGAGTGATTACAATATTTTTAATATTTAAATGTTTTGAAAGATTGTTGTTAAACTTTAAGCACTTTCTATAGGAACATGTCATACCACCTCACAATCATCTTTACCTATTACATTTTTAAATTTTAACTTTATTATCAAATAACACATGAATCCTTTCAACGCGCTGAAGGAGATTAATACATAGTAAAGAAAGGTTATAAAATTGCAGTGTGGCAATTATAATTATAACGTGCAACTAACATTGTTTTTATCCATCTCTTGAAAAGATAGCTGCATCAACATTAATTGTATGAGTTCAAAGGAGTGGATCCTTCCATTTCTTGTTTGCATCTTTGTATTAATTAAGCCCAACATATTATTTATAATTTCTTAAAATCATAAGAATATATGGATGAAGCGTATTTTCATCTTATGTCTGCAAGATCAAGGCGTAGGGTAGAATCCTGAATGAAGTACGATATAACATATTTTCAATTTAAAATCGAGACAGATCACAATGATGTGCATGATACCTAATAAAACCGCAGACTTAACCTTTCTCGTGTGATATGAATACCAAGAAAGCAGAAAAGAAGGAAAGTTTAAAATGGAGGAAGGAAATGTTAGTTGTTGCAACTTCGGCAAGTAGACCGGTTGTACAAGTAATAAAATGATAAAAGTAAGGTTATCAATCCTACGAGGACTGATTATCAAGCAATAACTTATCTATGCAATTAAAGTTGGATAGATCTTTAAATTGGATTTGTTGAGGATAATACTTTAATTTATAAAACAGAATTTTTAAAAAAATTATTTTTAATTTTTAATATTAAGAAATCAAGAACTGGATTCAAGAATTAATAATGTGAAGATCAAAAACGGCTTTTAACTTTTAATAAAAGATGTAGCTAAGAACTTTACTTTCCCAATAGTTTCTCAACCGGTTAAACTTTTATGCCACTAAAGTTTGCAATCAATTATTGACAATTCTTTTTTATGTAACTGACTCTTCAGTCCTTCGGTGGTTTCAGTTATTTACCTTATTCCAAGACTCTAATCCCTTAAAATCTTTTTCTAAAGCAAACTTTAAGGTAAAAAATTATGCGTCATCAAATTCGTTCGTAATGTTAAAATGAATCTACCACAGTCAAAAAAGTTAAAGATCTTTTGTAATGTTAAGAATTCAAGCTTCATTTTTTTTTTTGTTAACACTTAGTCAGCTTTACTGCTTCAAATATTGGTTTCAGGCCGGTAGGGTAACCAGACAAGGAGAAAAAATATGTCTGAAGATGACACGACAGGACAAATATTGTATTATAGTGTTGTAAATTGAGATAAATTTTATATATTATAGATATATAGAAATGTATAGGGTTTATTTGAGTACATATAAACAAAAGAGAGAGAAAAAATTAAAAAATATGAATTAAACACACTTTTATGTATATAAGAGATAAATTTATTTATTATAATATAAAAAATA